AAGAAATTGCTCTGTGTGACAGGCAGCAAGTATTGGGAGCACGGGCCTCCTTTCTAGAAGCTGGTGGTGAAGGCTTCTACCTGAGGTGAGACCTAATGGCTCCCTGGAAAAATGTAGGGAGGAGCATTCCAGGTGGAGGGAATGGCAGGTGCAAAGGCTCCAGGCTGTAAACACACTTGGGGTATTTGGAGAACAGAAAGGTGCCCCGTGCAGCTCATGAATGGGGCAGGAGGGAGGGACCAGAAACAAAGGTGAGGGCCGGCTTCTGTAGGGTGGGATGGGAAGGACACTGCCAAGAAGCCTATGATAAGATTTGGGGGGGGGGGGTCCATGGACTTGGATGGAGAAAGAAGTCATCTCTCTTTCACTGGCCTCTCCCTGAAAACCAGGACTTCCTTCAGTCACGAACGTCGACAACAACCAACAGTGATGTCAACAGTGCCAGGAACTGCTCAACAACAGGAACTGCTCATCCATTCATAACACCACTGTTGCAGAATCTGGAAATGTCACTTCTGCTCATCACAAATGCAGTTACAGTAGCCGTGAGACCAGCTATTGGACATTATTATTTAAAGTCTTAACAGAGAAACACACATCTTCCAATATCATAAATTTGAAAAGTATCTAAAAACTGAATCTGAAAAGAACTGCTTTCCCTTGTAACCCTCTATATTTTGTTTTAGTAAAGAAAGAGCAGTGTTCTGAGAAGGGGTCCCTAGGCTGTGCCCAGTGGCCCAAGTGCTCACAAGTCACAGTAAGGACTTTGAGGTTGACTCCAGGCAGGGATGGAGCATGGCTGTTTCAACAGGCTTCATGGCCTACACTTTTCGTGTTTTAAGTCTCCCCTGGCTGCCAGGCCTCTGATTGTGCAGGGCAGTGCCACGGGCAAGAGAGGGAGTAGCCTCCCCTGACCACAGTCCTGGGCTGTCGGGAGGGGACAGCGTCCCCGAGTCCTCGTGGGCTCTGCTCTGCCCTCTGATGAGAAGCCTGCCCACCTCTGGGCCCAAAGGAAGGACCCACCTCCAGGCCCTGTCATTTGGCCCAAAGCCATCCCGGGGCATCCTCCCAAAGAGCTTCAGAAAGTGAGCTCCTGGGTCCACAAGAAAAATAAATGCGGCATTCGCCACTGTTTGGTTTGCATATTGGTCTAGAAAAGAAATGAGATTTTTATTCTAGAAAGACTTCCAGCAGGACCCCAGCAGAGGCCAGAGCGTGAACACTCGGAGAGGCCCAGGCACGGAGACCCACTGCCACGAGAGGCAGCCCCACAGTTTACGGCTGTCTTCCTGTTTTCCCCGGGCCTCTCTTCACACTGCTCCCTCACATACAGAGTCTTTTCAATGCCCTCCAGGGGAACAGAAGAATCCATTTTTACACTCCAGCACGCACGTTTCTCCCCCACTCCCCGGGGAGTGGGCCCTGCCAAGAGGCCTGTGTATAGACACACAGGGACAGATGGGGATGGAGCCTGTGGGGTGGGGTCCTCAGACTGAGAAAAGCAGCAGCTCAATCCTCTCTGATCCCAGACACCCCAAACTGGAAGTGAGAGGCGGGCCAGGCCAACCGGAAGGTGAGGGACACATGTGGTGCTTCTGGGGCAATGCCTGGAAGCCTTGTGGGGAACAAGGATGCAGGGTGGGGTATGGAGGGTCTGGCTTTGGAAGGAGGGGCTGGGAGGAGCAGGGCTGGTTCACCTCGAAGGATCAGAACAGCATCTGAGAGAAGAGAGGAAGTGGGCACTGGGTCTTTGGAACCAGGCTAAGTGAGCAGGAAGGGAAAGTGAGTCACCCACGTCACTGGTGGGGACCAGCACAGAAGAGTGACCGCTCTAGCTGTCTTTTCAGATCTGTGCCCCTTTTCCACAGCTTTGGTTAGAAAGAACAGGCTAGGTGCACCTGCGTGGCTCAGTGGTTGAGCATCTGCCTTTGGCTCAGGGCATGATCCCAGGGTCCTGGGATTGAGTTCCACATTGGGCTCCCCACAGGGAGCCTGCTTCTCCCTCTGCCTATGTCTCTGCCTCTCCCTCTGTCTCTCATGAATAAATAAATAAAATCTTAAAAAAAAAAAAAAACCGGCTGAGTTCTGTTTTTCTTGGGAGGGGGTTCATTTTTATCTGCACCCACTAGCATTTCTGGGTTGTGAGTTTCTCCAGCACTAGGTCTCTGAATAAGGGAGACAGAAGAGAACCTAGGAGCTCGCTGGCACGTCATTCCTCACATCCCTGAGTCTCTAGTCAATCTGCCTTCTTCTCTCCACTTCCTAATTTTCAGCTATTTGTTTCATACATAATGTCCAGAGCTTTTGCCTGTCCTTGGTGGAAGGGTAGGGGACGGCGCACCTACTCTAGCGTGTCCACAACCGAAGTCCTACATTTCATATTGTTATGTTTTATATTTTTAAGAAACACATTAATCAAATATAGCAGAATACTCCCATTTCTTTAACCCTCATGGCAATTACAGGAAAGCCCTTATACGGCTTTCAGTACTCTTCCATTTATTGGAAACGCTGTGTAAATTCAGTGTTCCTCACACCCTTCCATTCTTTGCTCACTCATTCACCCAACCATGGTGTACCTCCAGGTACCAGGTACACCCTGGTGAATTTAAAGGATCCTGCCTGAGGAGCCTTTCACACTTGAGGTGAGCAGACAGCTGAGGCAGGGTGCTCCCACAGAAGAGGACAGTGTGCACTGAAAGATCCTCACCAGGGAGCTAAGTCGAATTCTCCGAGGAAATGGTCATGGGGTCTGACTGTGCCCCACAGGGCATTCTTGGTACCGCCACCTGTGGGCAATCTACGCAAAGGCAGAAAAGCAAATGGCTTCCCAAGACCAAGCTTTGTGGCCAACACTCTTCCCAAGTAAGCTGGCTCTCACCCAATTACCTCACCTCTCTACACAGCTCCCCACTTCAGGGAGGGCGGTGGTCTTGCCTATTTCAAACTCCCTCCTCCAAATTAGCACCCCAGAAAGGTCTCTTGCACCAGTCCTTTGGCTGTAAGCATGAGTGGGAGCCATTCACTGAGCCCAGTGAGGAAAACCAGGCTCAGCACCTAGGACAGACATTCTGGTCTCTGGTGAACTTGCTCATTCTGGACAAGAGAGGACTTGTCTCCCCAAGGGTGTATGACAACCATAGCAACTGAGGTCCCCACCCCTAGGCTCTATTGTCTCCAAGTCTAAATTAGCATGAAGAACAAAATGGCCCCAGGGAAATAGTGGCCAGACTCCAGAGAGGCTCTTCCTCCCTTTTCTCTGAAAGCCACTTGGAGTTTAGCTGGCAAAACTCTCCCAGCCCCAGGAGATGTGTCCATCTTCTTTCCCACCCTGCCCCATGTGCCCCCAGCATCAAGGGTGGACACAGCACCCCCAGCATGGGAAGGGCACAGCAGAGTGGGGGTTGCTGGGCATTCCAAGAAGAAAGCTGGAGTGCTAAGGGGAGGGAAGGTGTCCTGGACTCCTGAGGAGGGTTCCAGGGAAGCCCCTAACACACATGGTCTTATTTGACTGGGTTCATGAACACTCCTTCCCCCTGAGGAAATGAAGGGTCAATAAGATTGATTAATCAAAGGGGCTCATAGAGAGGATGGGATTTGAACCCAAGTCTCTCTGAACCGAGACCCCTATCCCTTAGGCCAGCTCCACTGGCCCCAAGAACACCGTGGGGGATCTGATCTGACAGGCAGGTCTTGAGGACATTTCCCCATGCTTTAGCACCCTACCTACCTTCTTCACCTGCTCACATCTGCCTTCATGGGGTACAGGTGGCTTCCTTTTGTTTCTAAACACTAATTGAGTTCCTCCCTTCATGGTGGGCAGGTGGGGCACACAAAGCAAATCAGTCACCTGCTGTCACAGAAAAGCAGAAGAATCCGGAAGGTGAGCCAAGTAGCAAGGACTGAGTAGGCCTGGGATGCCATTAAGTCCTGTCTGGCTTGGGAAACTTGTGGGGGCCAGGCCATGGGGTAGAGCCATTCAGAAAAGCTAAGTGGTTGTGAGTGGCCTCCCATTTCATGGAAGGCACTGGGCAGTTCACCCACAGCCCCAGGCAGAATTACCAAGAGCAGCTAGGCCCACAGAGTTCTGGGTGCCAGGGCCACCCTGTGTCCAGTGCTCAATGGATCTGAGTATAATAAGAAGTAGTTCACATGCCCATGACCTCCAACAGTCAGGAGCAGATAAGAAGCCTTCATATGGTGAGGGGGCATCCGCAGGGCACTCGAGGAGACTACCAGGGCCCCCACCAGTGTGGAGGAGCCCCATCCTGCCCGCCCCTTCCCTGGGAGCCCTGCGTCCTCATTTGGTGAGTTTGGCTGTGCCAGCCCCGTGAGAAGCAAGGCTCTGTTAGAGGTGCTTGGCTGTGCAGGTGCTGGATAAAGAGGACTGGGCTGTGCCAGTCCCTCAAAAACAGGAAAGGAAACTCAGATGTTCACCAGGACCTCAGCTCCCAAAGCCTGCTTGCTCAAGTCAGAGCCCACCGGCTCCAGGAAAGAAGGGGGGAGGCTGTGAAGGGGCATTTGGTGCCAGGTCTGGCCCACCTCCACCACCCTCCCACAGGCTGTGCAACTTTGAGCACTTACAGATCCTCAGTTTCCCCATCTGAAAGATGGACTAAAAAAAAACAGTATTTGCCTCCAAGGGCAATTGGGAGATAATCCTGTCCAGCACACATCAAATATTTAACGAATGTTAGTTTCCTTTATTTATTTATTTTTTTAGAGAGAGAGGGGTTATGGGGAGGGGTAAAGGGAGATAAAATCCTCAGCAGGCTCCACGCCCAGCTTGATGACCTGAGCTGAGATCAAGAGTCAGGCGTCCCTGTCAGTTTCATCTTTACGTCACTTGGCCAGGATGTCAGCCTGGAGTGCCTATCTGGAATCACTGTGCTGTTAACTGGTTCATATTTGACTCACTACACAAAGAGTTTGGTGGTCAACGGGCTCCTTGCTCCCCCTCCCAGCCCCTTCCCACGCCGCCTTCATGCAGGACAGCTTACCTATGGTCCTTCGGAGGTCTTCACACTGGCTAATGTGAGGAAACTTCAGGATTTCCTTCCACTTCTTGCTTTTCCCCTTGCGCTTTCCTCCGCCCCCTGCAGAAATGGAGGGAAAAGATGTCGGGCTATGTTGGTCTTGACCAAGGCTCCAGAGCCATTCCAGTGAGCCTGTCCATCAGCTTCACGGGCTCAAGGTCAAGTGAGTGAAACACCCCAAACCCCAGCAGGCACATACGCTTCCTCCTGGCCAGCACCAAGCCTGTGTGTTCTCTCCGCACAGTCAGGCCTAGGCCCCTCACCCAGGTGCCCTATTCTTCGTCAACATGTTCCCCTGCTCTTCAGGTCCTCTGGGTGCCCAGTTGGTCTCTGGCCCAAGACTAGACCCTGACCTGCCTACGGCAGGGGCTGGACTTAGTATCACCTTTGGGCTCAGGAAGTCCTTGTGGAAGGCATCCACATGTAAGTGCACTGCAGCCCCCCCAGCCCCCACTGCCTCATTTTGTCCTTTTGTTTTCTGTGAAAAGTCCCCTTTGCCAACCGGAGGCCAGATGTTGGGAGCAGGGATTTCGATTTCCACTTGTCTCAGGGTACCCACAAGCCCCCAGGGTCTCAGAGGATGCATTCTCAAAGCTGGAAGGACTCCTGAAGGACCCTGTCCTGCCTCAGTGTGCACGTGTGATGAACATGCACACACTAGGGACATGCACATGTAATTGTAAAGCACATGTGCACATGATGGGCACACATGTAATGTAATACAGACACACACTAGGGACATGCACGTGTAATGCACATGCGCACATGATGGACACACAAACATAATGAACCCACACACATAACGAGTATGCAGTGGACATGCAGAGCTGAATGAGGTATATGCACAGGGTGTTCCCATCACCCACACTACTCCTTATCCGTGGGACAGTGGACAGATGTCAGAATGTTCAGGTGTGCAAATAGCAAGGGAAAGCGCCAACTTAGGCCTGTGTCCCTGAGCCCACCAGCATTTGGGCCTCAGACCTGGAGGCCTCTCTGTGTCATGTGACCAGGACTGTCAAGGGACTGAGATGCCATCACCCACTCCCACCCCCAGAGCAGACTCAGATACCACCTAGCTAACAGTCACATAACCCTCAGGATTTGGGGATCTTAGGGGCGTTTTACTCTCCTTCATGCAGTCAACACCTCAATACCTGTGGAATTTGGGGCCCAGTTAGAGATGCAGGAGCTGGAGCAGAGCCTGGGCACACTGGGCCTGCTCCCTGCTCTGGGGGGGTGTGCATGCCTCTAGTCTAACCCTCCCAGAGCAGGCCTGGGATCCTTTCTCCAGCCAGTGAACTGAGGGATATAGGAGGAGCTTAGCTTGTACCCACCCTGGCCCAGCGTGTGCCCCAGGGCTGACAGGGAGCTGCTCTCCATGAATGAGGATTCCTAACTATCAACCCTGCTGCCCTGGAAGGCTGAGGCTGGGTTTCCCATTAGTGAGTAAATCAGCTTCTGAGGCCAGGACCAGGACCCCTACCCTGAGAACTGGGAAGTAGGAGAGGGAGCTGATTGGGGAGGTGGGGGTGTCCCTTCTCTGCTCTCTGTTTGTCCTATCTTCCTTCCCCTCAAGTCTCTGCAGGAGGCAAAGGCCTCAGACTCCAAGGGGCACAGCAAGTATGTGCTGGGCACTTGCTTTGGCCAGGTACCATTTGAACACTATCTCATTAATCCTCAGAATGATTCTTTGAGTTAGAGGATCACTGGACCGATGGCACATATAAAAGAATAAATGTCTGAGGTTGGGCAACTTGCCAGCTGATGGCCTATTCAATGCCATAGTTGCTTTTTCCTCTAGCTGGGGTCAACACACACGTGCACACACAGCAGAGCCCATCCCCAAGTCCTTCTCTGGGCCTCACATGTACTCTCTGAAGCCTCAAGTCTACAAGGCAGAACTATTACTATTTCCCCTTGACAGATAAGGAAACTGAGGCATGGGGAAGAAAGCAAGTGGTCTTCTTTAATGGCAGAGCCAAGACCCCAACTTGAATGGACTCTAGACCCTCACCTTTCTGTGCGTAAACCTTCCTTTGGGGTTCATTGAAAGCCAGGGAAATTCTCAGGGATAAAAAAAAAAAAATGGTGTCAGGCACAGAAGTGATGGAGCACTGAGTAAGAGGAGTAGGAATGGAGATTTCTCTAGATGGGGCCCAAGCCTACAAGCTCTGAGAAAACGCACCACCCCAGACGTCTGTAGACTTGTTCTGCTTGACCCACACATGGCTTGTTTGTTTGCCTGTTCACTGAACCAGCTGTCAAGATTTGAAATCATGAGGAGACTTCCCATGCAAATCTAGATTCTGGACTTTTCTCCATAACCAGGCATCCCACATGGCAAGAATTGGCTGGAGATAGGGAGCAGCTGCTCCTACGGACAAGCCGTGTGGCCTCCATGCAGGCAGCCTGCCTGGCATCCAGAGTAAAACATGTACACACACACCCCTTCCCCAGAAAATGGACACCTTCTAGAGACATCAGCAAAGTTGGATGCTTCCCAACCACGCTGGAAGGTCAAGAATGGCCATCAGAAGCCATCTAAGTCCTTGTCCCCTCCCATTCCCACACTATTCACTTCCAGATCTGGCTGGAAGAAAGCACTTGTGTGTGTGATAAAATATACACAACAGGACATTTACCATCCTAACCATTATTAGGTATGCAGTCCGGTGGCATTCAGTATATTCATCTTGTTGTACAACCATCACCACCATCCATCTCCAGAACTTTTTCATCAGCCCAAACTGGAACTCTGTACCTATTAAACACCAACCCCTTCTTCCCCCCAGCCCCTGGCAGCCACCATTCTACTTCCATGAATTTCACTACTGTAGGGACCTCATACAAGTACAATGATACAATATGTGTCCTTTTGTGACTAGCTTATTGCACTTAGCACAATGTCCTCAAGGTTCATTTATGTTGCAGCGTGTCAGGTTTCATTCCATTTTTAAGACTGAATAATATTCCATTGTGTGTAGGTACCACATTTGGTTTTATCCATTCATCTCTTGATGGTCACTTGGGTTGTTCCCACTACTTGGCCTATGTGATCAATCCGGCTATGGATATCTGAGTCTCTGCTTTCAATTCTTTTGGGTATATGCCGAGCAGTGGAATCGCTGGATCTTATGGTAGTTCCACCCTTCTGTGGAACTGACGAAGCCTCCTTGCCAATAAGGACTACCAGGCTGTACCCCATCAGGCTATACCCCAGCTCTCTGTGATCAAAACCCGGGGATGTGACTTCTGAAGAGGCTCCCCAGGTGATTCTCAGGTGGCCAGTCTATGGAAACCAGGGGCCTATTTTATACCCATACTTTTTATGGATTAATTTATCCATTAGGAAAATTAGCACAGACTCGTTAATTCACTCAACCAATATATGTTGAGCATCTATTAAATGCCAAGCTCTAGGCAGGTGCTGGGGATGCAGAGGCAAGCAAGAGACACAGGGTGTCACCAGCTCAGGGTTTCCAATCTAGCAAGGAAGATAGACATCAAAGGTTTTATGTCATTGGTTCTCAATCTGTGACCTGTCTCCTGGGGGTCATTTGGCAATGTCCAGAGATATTTTTGGCTGACACAGCTGGGGTGGGGGGTGCTACTGGCTCTAAGAAGGTAGAGCCAGGGGTGTGGTTAAATACTGCACAGTGCATGGGACAGCCCACCACGACAGAGGGGGACCTGACCCCAAATGTCAATAGTGCTGAGGAAGAGAAACACTGCTTTATTTAACAAGCATTTTGACCACTCAGAAGTGCAGGGGTTGGGGGAGACGTTAGTAACGGGCAGCCTGTCGCTGAAGGTGGAGTTAGGAAGGGAGGCAGAGGGAACCACACAGCCACCCAGGGGTTCAGGAGGGAGAGGGAACCACATAGCGACCCAGGGGGCTGCCCCAGGGCGAGGAGGCAGATTTCCCAGCCCAGCTGGGGCTCCTTTCCTCCGCCTCCTCACCTCCACAGTCCCCGGGACAGGGCAGGGACCGTGGCAGGCAAAATAATGCTCCCCAAAGTGACCACATCCTAATCCCTGGCTCCTGTGGATATGATAGGATACATGACAAATACAAGGATAACAGCAGGAACATCACCCCAGACGGTGTCGGTGGGCCCAGTGTAACCATCAGCGCCCTTCCACATGGAAGATGGGGGGACAGTCAGTCTAGAGTGATGCTGGGTAACAAAGACCGGACAGCGACTGGTGGCTCTGAAGATGGAAAAGCCCCGCTGGAGAAAGCAGGCAGCCTCCAGAAACCAGAAGAGGCAAGAAAACAGATTCTCCCGGACAGCCTCCAGGAAGGCAGAGCCCTGCCACCACCCTAGTTCTAACTTAGTTTCAACCCACTGAGACGCATGTCAGACTTCTGACCTCCTGAACTGTAACTCACTAATTTGTGTTCCTAAAATAATAATAATAATAATAATAATAATAATAATAATTTGTGTTCCTTTAATCCACTGGGTTTGTGGTATTTGTTACAGTAGCGGGTAGGTAGGAAACTATGACAGGGATGCTCTCAGCAGGGTATCCCCCTAAATGGCCACAGGGATCCTGAATGGCTCCTCCACTCACTTGGCCTCCAGTTCCTTAAAAAGTCTCATGACCTAAATGAAACCCTGCCCCTCCATAGCTCAGATGGGCTGGAGCAAGGTCTCACGTCTTAACCATAACCAAAACTCGCTTCAAGCTTCAAGGAGGTCACCACTGGGGATCCCTGGGTGGCTCAGCGGTTTAGCGCCTGCCTTTGGCTCAGGTCGGGATCCTGGGGTCCCGGGATCAGGTCCCGCATCAGAGTCCCTACGTGGAGCCTGCTTCTCCCTCTGCCTATGTCTCTGCCTCTCTCTCTCTCTCTCTCTCTCTCATGAATAAATAAAATCTTAAAAAAAAGAGGTCACCACTTCCAGACAAATATCTAGCTCTCTGGTGTGCTGCTGGGTTAGTAGATTGCATATCTGATACTGTTTATTATTTCAACCAGACGTGACTGTTTCTCAGGCCCCTGAGGCAGCGAGGCCCACCACCCTGCTGCCGAGGTTCCTGGCACGTCGTGG